ATTTGCTCTTTCTTTCTTTTGGTTAAGTGGGCTAAGAAAGAACCAGTTCTTAGAGTCATTGATTTTTTTTTTTTACATTGTTTTCTTTGTTTCTATTTCATTAATTTCTGCTGTGAGTTTTGTTATTTCTTCTTGTCTACTAGGTTTGGGGTTGGTCTGTTCTTGCCTTTCCAGAGTCTTGAGTTTTATTGTCAAGTCATTTACATGTGCTTTTTCTGATTTTTTTAAATGTAGGCACTAAGAGTTATAAACTTCCCCCTGAGGACTGCTTTTAGGGTGTCCCAGAGATTTTGTTGTGTTGTGTTCTTATTTTCATTTTGTTCCAGGAATACTTTTATTTCTTTCTTAATTTCTTCTTTGACCCATTCATGACTCAGGAGTGTGTTGTTTAATCTCCATGAATTCGTGTATTTACTAGAGGTTCTTTTGCTGTTGATTATAAGCTTTATTGCACTGGGGTCTGAGAGAAGGCATGGAATTCAATTTTTTTTTTTTTGTATTTGTTGAGATTTGTTTTGTGTCCCAGAAATGTGGTCAATTTTAGAATAACTTGCATGAGCTTCTGAAGAGAAAGTGTATTCTTTGGTTATTGAGTGGAATATTTTGTATATATCTGTTAGGTTAATTTCATGTAGTATGTCATTTAATTCAGATGTCTTTCTGTTTATTCTTTGTCCAGATGACCTGCCAATTGAAGGTAGTGGGGTATTAAAATTGCCCACTACCACTGAGTTGGTTTGTCAATCTCTGTTTCATAGTCCTGGACTACTGATTTTTTGAAATTGGGTGCTCCAGAGTTTGGTGCATGATTGGTGCATATATGTTCATGATTGTAATATCTTCTTGTCAATTGTTCCTTTGATTAGAATGAAGTAACCCTCCTTATTTCTTCTGATAAGTTTTAATTTGAAGTCTATTTTGTCAGATGTTAAAATTGTGATACCTGCTTTCTTCTTAGGGCCATTTGCTTGGAATATATTTTTTTTTCTATCCTTTCACGCTAAGATAGTGTCTATCCTTGAAGGTGAGATGAGTTTCTTGAAGACAAGAAGAATACGGGTTTTCTTTCTTGATCAGTTGCACCAGCCTGTTTCTTTTGACAGGGGAGTTGAAGCCATTATTATTTAGTGTTATTATTGAAAGGTGTATATTGTCTACTGTCATTTGAATTTCTTTGTATTTTTGGCCCGTTTTGTGTTATTCCTTGACGTTACTCCTTTATTTTCTTTCTGTAGCCTCTTGGGCATACACATTCCTTTCCTCGGTCCTTTGTATTGGTTCAAGTATTTTCTGTTGTGCTGGTTTGGAAGACATGAATTCTTTCAGCCTATTTGTGCAATGGAATATTTTCTGTTCCCCTTCGACCTTTATAGATAGTATTGCTGGATAAAGTTTGGGGTTGGCATCTATGGTTGTTCAGAACTGAGAATACTTTGTTCCAGGCTCTTCTGACTTTCATAGTTTTCATTGAAAGATCAGCTGTATTTCTGATAGGTTTTCCTTTATATGTAACTTGTTGATTTTCTCTAGTGGCTTTCAGTGCCCTCTCGTTCTGTACATTTAATGTTTTTAGTATGATATGCCGTGGGGACTTTCTGTTCTGATCATGTCTTAATGGTGTTCTCTGTGCTTCTTGACTCTCTATAGGTATATCTTTCCTTAATCTATTCAATGCCATTGGTTTGAGTTTTTTCTCCTTCCTGTATTCCTATAATATGTAGATTTGGTCATTTCATGTTGTCCCACATTTCCTGAGTATTCCATTTCTGTGGTTTTATTGAATTTTGCATAGTCTTTGCTTAAAGAGTTCAGATCTTCAACTTTATCCTCCATTTTTGATATTCTGTTTTCCATTTCATTCATTCTGCTTGTAAGACTTTTTCCTGTTGTTTCTAATGAGTTAGTTTATTGAGGTTTTCTGTTGGTTCATTGAGTTTTTCAGTCCCATGTTCATTTCCATTTGGGTTTTCTTCACGACGTCTGTCTCTTTAGTGAATTTGCTTTTCGAGTTATGAATTGTTTTTGATATTTCATTAAGCTGCATATTTGTATGTTCTTGAGCTTCCATCAGAAGTTTATGCCTTTCCTCTTAGAGTTCCTTGAGTTGTTGTCTATGTTTTCTTGAAGTTCTTTGATCATGTTTATGATCGTTCTTTTAAATTTCTGTACTGGGGTTCTACAGGGTGGTTCTCAGTGCTGTGTACTTTTGTAGGACTTGTGGTTTTTGTTGGGGACATATTTTCCTGGTTTTTCATATTGTTTGTTTTTGCATTGCTGTCTGGGCATTTGGATGTTCTTTGTCAGTTATGTCTTCAATAGGTACTTCTACTCTGCTTTTGTTTGTTTATTTTTGGTCTTTTTGAGACAGGGTCTCCCTGTAGCCCCATCTGTCCTGGAACTCACTATGTAGACCAGGCTGGCCTTGAACTCACAGAGATCCCCCTGCCTCTGCCTCCAGAGTGCTGGGATTAAAGAGTGTGCCACCACGCCCGGATCTAATTTAATTTTGGTTCTGTTAATATTGTTTATGTAGCTTAGTTACTTTTTGTTTAGGTGTGGAAGACATATTGGTGGTTATTTCATGTTCTTGCTGGGTAGTAGACTGGTCAAGAGTCCTGACTGAGCAGGTCTGTCTGCCTGATCCAGAGGTTGGGAATTTGGCAGTGAGGGGGCCATCTGCGTGAGGACTTAGAAATCTGTGGCAGGGTGATTAGTTAATCTGGTTTGGGAAGCTAGTCCTGGGACTTGAGGTAAAGGAATTCGATTTCTGTGTTTTTTCCAAATATCCTTAGTGTTAGGTAACCCTCCCTACTCCCTCTTCCACCCTCCCATCTCTCCCCGTTTAATTTTAATTTAATTTAATTTTTTTGTCTTTTTGAGACAGGGTCTCCCTGTAATCCCAGCTGGCCTGGAACTCAGAGATCTGCCTGCCTCTGCCTCCTGAGTGGTAGGATTAAAGGCATGAGCCACCATGCCTGGCCCCCTTTAAGTTTTAAAATTAAACATTTTTTTTTCTTTTTTTTTTGGTCTTTTTGAGACAGGGTCTCCCTGTAGCCCCAGCTGTCCTGGAACTCACTATGTGGACCAGGCTGGCCTTGAACTCACAGAGATCTGCCTGCCTCTGCCTCCTGAGTGCTGGGATTAAAGGTGTGCACCACCACACCCGGCTTAAACATTCTTTTTTTTAAAAAAAATATTTAAAAAATTATTTTTACTTTATGTGTACGAGTATATTGCCTGCATGTATGTGAGTGCACCCGTGTCGTGCAGTGCTGCAGAAGTCAGAAGAGGGTTTAGGATTCACCTGGAACTGGAGTTAAGGATGGTTCATAGATGCCATGTGGGTGCTGGGAATCGAACCCGGGTCCTCTGCAAGATCAGTCAGTGCTCTTAACCGCTGAGCCAACTCTTCAGCCCTAAAATTAAACATTCTAACACAATATAATCCATAGAGATACAAATTTGGTACTTAGATGCTAAGGGTTGACCATAGGAAAATATTAAAAAGTCTCTGTTTGCTGTAATTAAATCATTACATTTCTTTTGTCGTATTGGAGATTGGATCCTTGTGTATGCCAGACAGGCATTCTACCAACTGAGCTATCTGTCCATCCCCTAAATGACCCTCCCTTCCTTCTTCCCTGCCTCCCTGCCTCCCTCCATTCCTTCCTTCCTGCCCTCCCTCCCTCCATCCCGCCCTCCCTTCTTCCTGCCTTCCTGCCTTCCTGCCTTCCTGCCTTCTTCCTTCCCTCCCTGCCTCCCTCCCCTCCCCTCC